CCATAAAGGAATTTGATGGAAACCAGAATAGGCGTCCATAAAACTCATCAAGGCATGGCCGGCTGTTGAGTCGACCAGGTTATCAATTTTAGGCAGAGGGTAACTGTCTTTGGGGCACGCCTTGTTTAAGTCTGTGTAGTCTACACACATTCGCCAGGTGCCATTCGGCTTTTTAATAAGCACCACATTTGCAACCCAGTCTGGGAAGTAACATTGCCGAATGAACCCTGCATCAAGTAATTTTTTAACTTCGGCGGCTGCCGCCTGACTTCTTTCTTCGCCATGGTTCCGCTTCTTTTGCCGTACCGGCTTCTTTTTCGGATCCACAGCGAGTTTATGTACTGCCAGATCAGGACTAATGCCTGGCATTTCATGGACTTCAAATGCAAAGATGTCCTTGTATTCTTTCAATAGGTTGTGAAAGTCGTCACCAAGGTTTCTCAGAGCAGTCGTCCCAACTTTGACTGTTCGGTCAGGACGAGAGTCGTCTAAGATCAGGTCCGCATGCTCACCAGCCGGCTGAGGGCGGAACTCATCCGGCCGCTCCTCTGCCAATGATTGCTATTTTCTTGCTTTTCTTGCGGACTCTGTCTGGGACGCCTTTCTCTTTTTGTCGCCTGTTTCTTGAACAGGCGCACTCTCCTTGACATTGTCAAGGTCTGTTTTTTCTCCACTTGATCCAGTGGCCATAACAGTGGGCTTGACATCCGAGAGATAGCACTCTCGGGCCATCCTCTGATCTCCCCTTAGGGAGCCGACTGTTCCATTATCCCTCTCAAACTTAAGCAGCATAAGAGACGGGATTATAACAGCCTTGGAATTATTCAGGGTTGGTCGACCCAGAATCATGTTGTAGGCCGAGAGTTCCTCTACTACTAGGAACCGGACTACCATGTGTCGTCCTTCCCCTTTTTCGCCCAGGCGAATGGGTAAATCTACTCGTCCCAGTGGGTGGACGACTCCTCCTCCAAACCCTATTAAAGGGTGGGAGGCCGGATGTATGCAGTCCGTCTGATATTTCAGTTTTGACAGACATTTGCTGCTAATGAGATCTGAGGAGCTCCCGGTATCTATGAGGATTCGGCCAACTCTCTGGTTGGCCACTTTACATTCAATAACGAGAGGGTCGTCATGCGGCCCCCTTACCCCTCCTAGATCCTCTTCAGTGATGACAATCTCAGGAAATGTATATTTGGACGGCCGTTCTTGGTGAACGGAATTTACATCTAACCGCCTTATATTATCTTTGTTGCCCCTAATAGTGGGGCCGCCTCCTGAGAAGCCGCCTGCAATGGTGTAGACGACTGCATCATCTGTATCGGAACTGTCGGCCTGTTGATTCTTTTTGGCCGACTGCTTTTTTGAGGAAGTGTTCCCCGTAGATTTCTTGACATAAGTGTCAAGATCACCTTGCTCAGCCAAGCGGTCTAGGTACCGCATGAGACTGATGCAGTCATTGGTGTGATGACCAACGTCATCATGATAAGCACAGATTTTGTCTTGGTTCCGGTTGTTTGCAGAACCCTTCATGGGGACCGGCTTCTCAATTGAGAACCGTCCCTTTATTTCTTTTAGGATAAACTGGTTATCCTTGTTAAACACATACTTTGGGGAGTATGGTTTGAATTGTTTTTTCTTTTTCTGGGTCGGCTGTTTAGAGGAATCAACCGCCCAGACCTCTTTTCTTTTCTCATCTTTGTTAGACGACTGTTTCTGTCGTCCTTCTCTTTTGTCGAACCTTTTCCCGTCCGACTGTTTTATCGTACACAGATCAGTCGCCTGTATATAGGCTTCTGCTTCAATCAAGGCCTCTTGAAGAGTCGCCACCCTTTTTCGAACTAAATCAAATTTGAAGGTAGACCCGTCTTTGAGACCTCTAAAAAAGTCAGTATAAGCTACCTCATCCGGTAACCCTTGAATCTGTATTCTCATCAGGTTGAACTGCCTGATGTAAGAACGAAGCCCCTCCTTCTCGCCCTGCTGAATTGTTCCCAAATCAACGGTCGTTTTCTTCGCAGGGATGTTCATGGCGAAGTTGGAGGCAAATAAGTAAGCAAGCGTCCTGAAGCTGTTTACACAACCAGTCGGCAGGTTGCCGAACCATTGCTGTGCGATTCCCTTGAGAGTCGCTGGGAAACACTTGCACCAAGTGGGATCATCCAACCCTTGAAGGTACATCAGGTTGGTGAATGCCATCAGATGGTCTTCTAGGTTAGTAGTGCCGTCATAGGCGCCTACTAGTACATTTTTTACTTTGGCCGGCTGAGCGGCTTCAGTAATTTCCTTGGAGAAGGCCGACGGCTGTTCACCAAGTCTAAGCAACCGTAGCTGCCAGTCCATAGGTTGGACGTTTTTTGCTGCAGGTCCACCAAATGGAGGTGGCTGCATAAAATACTGTTGTTGCGGCACAAATGGTAAGCTTGGTACCGCCTGGGCACTATGAAAGCCGGACTGACGGGAGGTGCCGCCTGACTGACTCTCATGGTACGACTGAGTATGCCTCATCGAGGCATTTCGCAAACTGTCTTGAAAATTTGAAGTAGAAGCCGACTCTGACAATCGGTCACTCTTCTTCTGCTCTAGCAGTAGCCGAGCATCTGTGAACGTTTGCTTTGACCCGTCCGCCTGAATATGACGAACCGGTTTCCTATTTCCCGTAGGATAACAGAATTTTGTGAAATCAAGAGCAGGTGGCTCCCGCTTCTTGGATTTAGGATGAGGAGTCGCCTCTCGCCCTTGAACTGGCTTCCTCTTCAGTGAAGTGGAAGGTTTTTTGGCCGACTGCTCTTTGACTGAAGCAGGCGGCTTTTTGTTGATCAATTCTTGAATCTCTCCCTTGAAGTCCCTCATGAAGGTCATGAGTTCGTTCCTTGTGATGGGAGCAGACCCATCAGTCGGCTGTTGCCGAGCAGGCGGTGCGCCTGCTGGCTCGCTTCCTGTTTGAAGATGCTCCCGTTCCCTCCTTTCGGTATGACGGGTACGTCGGGCCCTTAGGGTCCCGTCTGGAGCTGTATGAGTTTCCACTTCAAATTCACTTTCGGTATCATGGTCCGACTGAACTTGAGGGTCGTTTAGGGGACGCCTCTCTTCAGGAGTCGGTACAGACTTGGATGCCATCTCTGAAGTACTCTCCCCACAGACGGCGCCAAATGTTTCGGGGTTTTCTGATGTCCTGCGGGAGAGTTACAATTCCGAGACTGGAACCGGACGCCTGTACCTGCAAAATAACGGAGACTCCTTAGAGCTCCGCCTCCAACGGTCAAGTTAGTACCTGATTAAGGAGTAATTAATACGGAAATTAAAGTAATAAGACCTCTCTAGGTGAGAGTGTTTAATGTTGGTAATCTGCTTTGTTAGCGAGATTAGCCGGTTATTAGTGTTCCGTAATGTTTCTGTTCTTCAGGTGAGATTAATTGCTTCTCAATTGCTTGATGTTCTCTTGATTTCTTGATTGCTTAATTAATGAGGATTAATTAAGTATTTATAGTCTTGAGAAGCGTGCCACTCTCTAGGTTTAGGGTAAACCTAGGGCTGACCGGGCCTCTAGACAGGATTGGGCCTTGTTGGCCGGTTTTCCCATTTGGCATGGGTGGACACGTGGCGTGCCTCGATTGGTCCGTAGAGGACGTATCTGTGATTGACACGTGGCAGGCTCCTATTGGCCTTCGTGAAGGACACGTGGCGAAACCTGGTTGGTCCACTTGTCAGACGGTGATTGGTGGATAAAAATCCCCTAATCACTTTTGACCAAATTTTAGTCCCAAAATGTTCATCTCATTTGCATTTAAATATTCTCCAATTTGCAATGATATTTGTGTAACATTAGCTTTTCCATGTAAATTTTATTTTTTCTATGTACTTTTATTACTTTATCTCTCTACTTTTTTTCAAATTCAATGTAAATTGAGGAATTCTTGGACTCTAACTGTTAGAGTCATTTATGACTCTAACAACACATGTAGGTATTTCACATGATACCAGCAACAAATTATATCGATACCAACAAAACAATTTTATGTTCGTTGGTATCATTGAATAAGGTGGTTGGTATCATGGTGATACTATCTAAAGTATAATGAAATACCAACATGTGTTATGACATTATTTTTTTCAAGTACGGTAAAAGTGAATGGACGATTATCCCCTTGTTAGAGTCATAAATGACTTTAACAGTTATTGTCCTAGAATTCCTCATGTAAATTTCCCTTTACAATGTACTTTTATTAGCTTTCATACAATTGTACTTCCAACTTAAATTTCTTAATACCCGTGAACTCCCCAAAAGGGTCGTTTTTTAGGGATGCAGGAAGTATATACTCATTGAGACGATTCTAACAAGTACTCACAATACTATATATTTTCTTATGAATAATTCATTTACCATTGGTCAAAATATGTTTATTAAATAGTCTCAAACTCTCTAATGGGACACTTAACAAAATGGAGGGAGTATTTTATTGCATTATTATCAAAGAACATTTGGATAAAAGGGTTATATAAATCCAAATTTTTGATTAGATAAAGACTATAAGTCTATAAGAGCATCCACAATGACTAGGTACATGTACATGTAGTTTTGGGTTGTCACATCATTAATCCCCCATCTATATGATTTAATCTACAACCTTTATAATGATAACCTACATCTTTTTATAACAAATAAAAAATAACAATAAGCAAACAAATGCATAAAAAATAGGAAAATTTGTCGGGAATACATCTTTGGGCTGTCTGCTAAAATGAAAGTCAGTGGTGACTTTCCGACCAATGGGAGTCTCATACAACATTTACCTTTTTATAAGGTAGTTTCTTACAGCATTTTTTTTAATAGGTAATTTCTCGTAAAAAAAAAAAAATTGTTTTATAAGGTAGTTTTTCACAAAATGTCCATAAAACAATCGATTAATATGTCACCCTCCATTATATCATCATAGTAGGATTTTTAACTTTGTTTTATGTTATGATGCTAATGCAATATGATTTCTAACGAACGAATCAAGGCACTCACTAAAGCATATGAAAGAAGGAAGCAGCATAATCAACACAACCTCCGTCACAGCATACAAGGGTGAGGAAACGCTAGTTGACTACAGCAGCACCAAAGGAGCGCTTGTTAGCTTCACTAGAAGCCTCAGTCTTCAACTCATCAAACGAGGAATTCGAGTAAATGGAGTAGCACCAGGCCCCATATGGACTCCCCTTCAGGTTGCTTCTCTGCCTGTTGAACGGGTTGTGAATTTAGGTTCATATGCACCAATGGATAGAGCCGCGGAGCCATTTGAAGTCCCTCCATCTTTTGTATTTCTTGCAAGCGACGAGTGTTCATCCTATTTCACAGGTCAAGTCCTTCATCCAAATGGTAAGCATGTTGTAATTTTTCATCTTTTGAAATTGTTGTCATCCCATATTATCGATATATACATAACTCTTCGTACATTAATACTCGAATTGCAAAAATAATTTAAGTGAAGCACAGTTAATTAATTAAGTTGCCTAACTTTTCAGGTGGAGAGATCGTTAACGGATGATCCATTGATCCAAGTATGTCGACTGTCAAGATAATCTAATAAAGAGCACGAGCGTGTACATACCCCTGTGTCTCCGATGTTCAAACATCTAATAAATATATTTATGTTAATAATCATCCTTGCATTTTAATGTATGCAAAAGCCAAAGTATTTACTTTGTTTATTTGTTGTGTTTATTACTTTGGCTTTGTATTCGTTATCCTTTTAAACCATCCTTGTATTCTACGTACTTATGTCGTACATGTACTATGCTATATTTTTTAAAAACACCTTCATTTAAGGAGGAGGGGGGGGGGGGGGGATGGTGAGGAATCAAACCCCGTGTCACACGGGAGATGGTAAGACCAATCCCTCCATTCCTAATGTCATTTACTATGCAATATGTGTTGGAACATTTATGGAATAAATGGAGCTTATGTATCATATATGAAGTTTATATTATGCTAGGAGTTGAGGAGGATTAGTATAATGATTATACTTAGAGTTATAGCAAAACAAGATGTATAAAAGTGACAAAACAATGCAAAATTATTGATTAATTTGTGCTTCGCCCTGTAGGGCGAGCACGAGTAAAAATTGTCAATCATCTCAATTTCATTGAGATGTTACTCGCGCCCGGTAGGGCTCAATTGCCTGGTCTGCCAGGGCGTAGGGGGTTTGTTAGTTTTTACATGGTTTACAAAATTAAAGTGTTGCTTGCGCCTGGTAGGGCTCCATTGCCCGGTCTGACCGGGCAAAGTTCAAAACTGACGGTTTTGACAGTTTTTTGAACGATTTGCTTTGTGAACGGACATGTCCGTTGGAATTAAAAATGCTCTTCATATAAACTCTATAAATAGGAGTTTATATGACATATATGAGGAAGGAGATTAGAATTACAAATCATTCTTGCTTACTTTGAGAGAAAATCTGCAGTAATTTTCTTAGAGTGAAAACAAACACATTTCTACTCAAACTTTGTTGAATTAGTTTTGTAAGAACTAGCAAAACTAATTGGTTTTTCATTGTATCCCAATAGTACTATCGTGTAACTCGATTGTTCCAAAGAAAGTCAATAAATAACTACTAGGAAAGCGTTTATCACGTGCCTTGAAGAATTTATCCGGTCTCTTTGAACATCAATTTTCATTGATTTTCTAACAATATGTGTACTCAATAAAATGCCTTAACTGAGAAATTTTATATACTACCTTTATTTTTGAAAATTCGACTCACTTACTATTCATGTGGTCAAAGTAAAAAAAATCTTTAACCAACGTTTATGATTTTTAAAAAAGTAATAAATTACCACGGGAGATCTTGTGGTAGGGAGTGCAACATTGACGAGTTGAAAATGTAATTATTAAAAAAGAGGATTTTATTTTGTGAGAAACTACCTTATACAGTTTAGATTTTGTGAAAAAACTAACTTATTAAAAAATATTATAAGAAACTAACTTATAAAAGACTATATGAAGTAAGAAACAACCTTATAAAACACTAAATGTTGTAAGAAGTTACCTTTTGATTGATTATTATATTAAATAAGGTACTTTAATGACCCAATTTCAATCATTTTTTCTCATTTTCTCACCCAATTTCTCCATAGCCCCCTTATTACCCCTAATTCCCCTTTTCTTTCATTGTTAATTCAAACATATGGGGAAACTTACAAGTAACATTTAGTTTTTTAATGAATTTTTTATATAAGATTTTAGAAAATAACACCACAAAAAAGTCACGATTTTGATTATAACACCACCAAAAAAAAGAAAAAAAAACCTTTCATTATAACATCATCAAAACCCAAAATTTTGATTTTACCACCACTTGGTGGATGCCGTCCAAAAACCGTTTATAGACCCTACCTAGTACACGTGTTACTTATATATTGGTTAAAAAAATTAAAAAAAAAAAAAACTTAAACCCTAAGCCAACCACCGGCAGCCCCTGCATCCCACCACCATATCCCCTACATCCCACCGCTGGAAGCTCCACTACCAAAACCTCTCATTTAACGCTGAACTGTTGACACCCCCTCCCTGTAATATCTACCGCCGAAAGTATCCCAACACCAATAACCCTAAAACACCCAATTTTGATTTGGTTTGGGTTTCGGGTTTCGAATTTTAGGTGCAGGTTAGGGTTCAGGTAAGCATGAGAGGGGTTTTTGGGTCTAGGTGAGGGCTGGGATGGATCTGAGCGATTGCAAGCGAGGGTTGGGATCTGCCGGCAATCATAGGATGTTTTGCGAGAGTGGATTTGCGGGGGCGAGGGTGGAGATCAAGTTCCGACAATAGGCAAAAGGAAAAAATTGGGAAAAACTATTGGTGGTAGGATGGGGAGGGGGAACAAGCTACCGGCGGTGGGATTTGGAGAGAGCTGTCGGCCGTGGAGGTTGCTGGTGGAGGCTGGGTTTGGGTTTAGAGATTTTTCTTTTTTAAAATAATACTTTTTTTTTGTAAACCAATGGTACACTGACATGTGTACGTGGCGGGTCCTACTAACGGATTACATCCAAGAATCCATTAAGTGGTGGTGAAATCAATTTTAGAAGTTTTTGTGGTGTTATAATAAAGTTTTTTTTTTGTCATAATAAAAATTTGGGTTTTATTGTGGTGTTATTTTCTAAATTTTTATATTTTTTATTTTTATATAAGGTAGTTTTTCACAAAATTCGAAATATATTAGGTAGTTTTTCAAGAAAAAAATTAAAAAAACGATTTTTTCACCAAATACCCTTAAGTAATTCGCTTATTCATAAAATACCCATTAAACTTTCCAAATACACCATATACCCCCAAGTTTAACAAAAATGTCCAAAATACCAAATAGTGATGGCTGTGGCTAGGGCTGGTTTTTTTTTTTTTTTTTTTTTTTTTTTTTTAATATTCGATTTTTATTTTCTATTAATTAACTAAATAGATTAAAAAAAAAAAACATCCAATCAGCAGATGTTATGAAGCATTGTTAACCCTTAATGACTAACGAAGTTGAGGTTCATTAGTTATTTGGGTATTTGAGGCATTTTTATTAAACTTGGGGGCATATGCATGGTGCATTTGAAAAGTATTATGAGTATATTGTGAATAAGCGAATCACTCAAGGGTATTTAGTGAAAAAATCGAAAAAAAGTTACAAAATAGTGTTTATCCCTTCATTTCATTTTGTTCGTTCTACTAAGAATCTTTTTATGGAACAGAATTAGTCAAATTGTAAGATCAATATGATATAGCTGGATTATTGAAATACAACACTACAAGAAAATAAGATATCATCGATCGCGTGGATTAGTCGGTGATCACAAAAACATCGTTAGTGATCGCATCATCGACAGCTAAATGTCGTTGTACGCCTGACGGTGGACATTTCGTCGGTGATGCAAAAATCATCGTTAGTTATGCTGTCAGTGATCTAATCAGATCACCGACTATTTACAAGAGAAACACTTATAAATCAAATGTGTATTGATGTTTTATCCTCCACTTCAAGGTAGTTTGGTTGTCAGTGAAACACCTATAGTTTAAAACAAAGGCGGATCCAACGGGGGTTCAATTGAACCCCATTAGATCCTTAAAAAAAAAAGAATTTTATAAAAAAAAAATATAGAAATAATATTTGAAACAAATATGTAGAACATAAGGCTTGCAGCTCAGTTGGATAGGATGCTTTAGAGTTGGACAACAGGACTTGGGTTCGAGTCAAGCAGGACGCAATTTTATTTATTTTTTTCTTTTTAATTTTCTCCTTTTCCCCTTACATTGTAACTTTTGTTCTCTTTCTTTTCTCAATTCTGTAACTTTCGTTCTCTTTCTTCTCTCTCTCATTTTTTTTATTATAAGTTTCTTAAGTATTTTGATATATTCTATAATTTATACTTATTTAAATTGTAGATTGTTTATCTTTTTTTCTATAAAGTGTTAATCTGTTTTTTAGTTTTTCAATTTCTTAATTGTTAATATGTTGATTATTTTGTAACTTTTGTTGAATTGTTAACTTAAATGAATAAATGGACAATAGATGTGTTGATGTATGGAAACTCAAAAAATGCTTTTGTAATTGGAATGTTTTCAAAGAATGAAAACTCGAAGTGCTTTTGTAATTTGCATCTTTTTAATGTATTGTATTTTGACATTTAATCAAAGTTATGTATTATTGTATCACATCATTTTATTTTACAATTTTATTGAAATTTGGACTTATTTTGTGGTGTACTTGTATATTTTTATTTATTTGAACACTCTATTTTATACTTGAATACCCAATTTATATCCGTGCATTTGGATATTGGGTGTTTGATGAAATTCGAATCCCTAGGTACAATTCCTAGATCCGCCACGTACTTGTTGTTGCACTAACAGCCAATGTAACAGATGCTGCTTTTAAAGGCAACGTCAGTCTATAACTGTTGATGATTGCTGAAACATATTTTGATGGTCGTCGGTGTCTTGTAGTTGTTAAATAGGGTTTTTCTTGAAGACCAATGTTAAGATAAGGAAGAATATCTTAGGGAATATATTTGATATATTTGTAGTTATATTATGTTATCTTTAGGTAGGATAATATTTACTAAATATATCCTAAGATAGATATGAATTAGATTCCTACGTTGATTAGGTTTCTAAGAGATGTGTATAAATATTGAATTGATGATGAATGAGAAGACAAGACTTTGAGATTATCTTGACATGGTATCATGAGCCAAGGCAAGATTCAATTTTTTTGCCGTGAGAAAAGTCTGAAAAATTAAACACACTTAAAAATAATTAAAACACATATTAAGAAGAACGAAGATGGGTGAAAAACCTGCAGACTTGACGTATTATTTGGGATCGAGTGATGGTCCGAGTAATATCATTACACCTATACAATTGCGTGGTGAAAATTATGATGAATGGGCTCAAGCTATGCGAAGGACATTAATGGCTAAGCGTAAGTTTGGTTTTGTAGATGGCACTATTGCCAAACCGGTGTCGGATGCGAAGAAGATGGAGGATTGGATTGCGGTTCAATCCATGTTAGTCTCATGGATTACCAATACGCTTGATCCGAAGGTTCGTGCTACACTTGGTGACTATGATGATGCAGGTGTATTATGGTTGAACCTTAAAAGTCGGTTCTGTGTGGTAAGTGGCACATGAGTCTGCCAACTTAAGACTGCCTGGGTGCGTGCCAGCAAGCCAATACAGAGTCCGTGGCTGACTACTTTGGTCGGCTTTCAAAAATTTGGAAGGAGCTCTTGCAATATGTACGGGTTCCTAAGTGTAGCCGTGGAAAGTGTGAGTGTAACATAGTTACACAGGTGGATAGCATTCGAGAGGAAGATTATTTGCACTATTTTCTGATTGGCTTGGACGCTCACTATGCTGCGATTCGAGCCCAACTCCTTGCGCAAACTCCTCTACCGAGTGTGGATGTTGCCTATCAGAACATAGCAATGGCGGAACGCTTACGAGAGGGCGGTGTGAAGGTGGACAATGCTATGGCTTTCAAAGTTGATTTGAAAAATAAGCAACGATATGAAGACAACAGTGATAAGTTTTGTAATCATTGTAATAGAGTGGGCCATGACGAGAGCGGCTGTTTTCAACTTATTGGCTACCCCGAGTGGTGGGGGGAGCGTGGACGTGGTAGTAGAGGACGGGGTCGAGGTGGTGGCCGTGGGGCTGGTCGTGGGACGCGCGGCGCTAGCAGCAATGCAGCGGCAGCAACCTCATCCCAGCAGCAATCCGTGAGGGCAAACAAGGTGGCTGGTTCATCACAGTCACAACCGAAGGCTTCTTCTTCGACTGAAGATGCGGCAGCAGGTTTAGTTGGTGTGAGTGCGGTCCAAGTTCAGCAGATTCTTGATATTTTAAATCCCAAAAACAGACAGTTGCATGGTAAGACGAATATAATACCTTGGATTGTAGATACGGGAGCATCAAATATGTTACATGTGAGTTTAATTTGCTCACAGATGTGAAGAAGATCCAAAATTGTCCCGTAGGCTTGCCTGATGGCAAGTCGGCTAATGTGGATCAATTAGGAACAGTGTTATTGTCGGGTGGTTTACAACTGACTAATGTGCTTTTTGTACCTCAGTTGACTTGCAATTTAATTTCTGTGACTCAGTTAAGCGATGAATCTAATTGTATGTTGCAATTTACTAATAAAATATGTGTGATACAGGACCTGCGGATGAGAAAGGTGATTGGTGTGGGTGAACGCGAAGATGGACTGTATTTTTATCGAGGTGTCCCTCAAGTGAAGGTTCTAGCGGTGGATGGAGATTCTTCGTTCGACTTATGGCATCAACGAATGGGACATCCCTCAGAGTCAGTGTTAAAATTGCTTCCGGTGGTTAGTAGTCGTTATAGTAGAAATAATAAAATTTGTGATGTGTGTCCTCGAGCAAAACAAACTAGATCTAGTTTTCCAATTAGTGAGAATAAAGCCAGTCGTTTATTTGAACTTGTGCATATTGATTTGTGGGGTTCTTATAAGATACCTTCTTTGTGTGGTGCCCGTTATTTTTTAACAATAGTTGATGGTTTTTCAAGAGGTGTTTGGGTTTATTTGTTACAAAATAAAACGGAGGTTGAATTGATGTTTTTAAATTTTGTAGCTATGGTGAAACGACAATATGATCATGTTATTAAAATTGTTAGAAGTGATAATGGAACGGAATTTAATTCCTTGAAAGAATATTTTAATAATAATGGCATAATTTTCGAAACATCGTGTGTGGGAACACCACAACAAAATGGAAGGGTAGAGAGGAAGCATCAACATATTTTAAATGTGGCACGAGCATTGAGATTTCAAGGGAATTTACCGATAAAATTTTGGGGGGAGTGTATTTTAGCGGCATGTCATTAATAAATCGAACTTCCACTCCATTACTTGGTAACAAAACTCCTTTTGAAGTGTTATTTAATAAACCCCCGTTATATGAGAGCATTCGTGTATTTGGGTGTTTGTGCTATGATCATAATCAAAGGTGTAAGGGAGATAAATTTGCTAGTAGGAGTAGAAGGTGTGTGTTCTTAGGATACCCGTTTGGAAAAAAGGGGTGGAGGGTGCTAGACTTGGAAACCGAAGAAATATTTATTTCTCGTGATGTCAGATTTTTTGAAACTGTTTTTCCTTTTGATGATGCTTCGAAGACAGTTTTAATGGAAGATTTGAGATTAGGGGGTGTAGACGAAGGTGGGAGTGAAGATGCAGAGTGGGACTCTTTACAGCCCCATGCCGAGGACATCCCAGCCCCTGACCAGCCAGCTGGAAATCCAGCGGCAGCTGGGTGCCGAGAGCAGCCCACTGACCAGCACGCTGGAGATCCAGCTGCTGCTGGGTGCCGAGACGAACAGCAGAGCCAGCAAGCTTCCCTGCCCAACGTTGCTGCCACGGAGGATGCAGGGAGTACGCCAGTAGTAGCAGAGGTAGGGGGAGTGCAGGGCAGCCGCATAATTTGCGTGAGAATGAGGGAGAAGGGGATAGGTTCGGGAAAGGAAAAAGACCAAAAATCCCAAATACTAAATATAAAGATTTTGTGACACACACTATACGGAAATACAGTCCATCATCCCGCAATTCATCTCCACTATCATCTTCCTCAGGTACTCCTTATCCCCTCACATATTTTATTGATTGCTCACGTTTTTCTAAGAAACATAAAAAGTATATTGCAGCTCTAACAGCAGGGAATGAGCCTAGATAATTCAAATAGGCAATGAAACATGCCGGTTGGCGAGATGCAATGACTGTAGAAATAAAAGCCTTAGAAGAGCAAGGTACGTTGGTTCTATAGAAATTTCCACCAGGGAAGAAAGCCTTGGGAAGTAAGTGGGTGTACACAGAGAAACGTGATGAGCACGGAAACTTGTTGAGGTTGAAAGCTCGATTAGTGATATTAGGCAATCATCAGGTGGAAGGCCTTGATTACAATGAGACATTTGCACCAATTGCAAAGATGACTACAGTTCGAACGTTTCTAGCAGTAGCAGCAGTGAAGAATTAGGAAGTACATCAGATGGATGTGCACAATGCACTTTTACATGGAGACTTGGAGGAGGAAATTTACATGAAAATTCCTATGGGTTTCAATAAAAATAACTCTGATTTTGTGTGCAGGATGAAAAAATCATTATATGGTCTGAAACAAGCTCCTAGATGTTGGTTTGCAAATTTAACTGCGGCGTTGAAGAAATATGGATTTAAACAATCTTACTCAGATTATTCTTTGTTCACATTTACCAAAGGAACATTCCAGTTGAATGTGTTGATATATTTTGATGACTTGATTGTTGCAGGGAACAATAAAGTAGCCTAATCAAAATTTAAGGCATACTTGGGAGATTGTTTTAAGATGAAGGATTTGGGAGTATTAAAATACTTCTTAGGACTCGAGGTTGCAAGAAGTAAGCAGGGCATCTATATTTGTCAACGGAAATATGCATTAGACATTATTTTTGAAACTGGTTTGTTGGGATCTAAGCGTGCAGATTTCCCGATGGAACAAAATCATAAATTAGCTCTTGCGGAAGGCAGAGTATTGGAGGATGTGGAGAAATATAGACGGCTTGTTGGTCGTCTGATTTATTTATGTGTAACTAGATCGGATCTAGCATATTCTGTTCATATTTTATCTCAGTTTATGCAGAATCAGAAGGAAGCACATTGGGAGGCCGCACTTAGAGTGGTGCGTTATTTGAAGAAACATCCAGAGCAAGGAATACTTCTTCGCTCGGATAGTGCTTTGCAACTTGAAGGTTGGTGTGATTCTGATTGGGCTAGTTATCCTTTGTCTAGGAGGTCTTTGACGGGTTGGTTTGTGTTTCTTGGTTTTTCCCCAATATCATGGCGGACCAAGAAACAACCCACAGTTGCTACATCATCTGCGGATGCGGAATACAGGTCAATGGCGGCTACGACATGTGAACTAAAGTGGTTGAAACAACTACTACGAGCTTTGGGTGTACAACAGCCACAGGGTATGAAATTATTTTGTGACAGCCAGTCAGCTTTGTACATTGCTAAAAATCCAGTATTTCATGAAAGGACGAAACATATTGAAATTGATTTGCATTTTGTAAGAGATGCAATTCAGGAGGGACTGATTTCCCCTTCGTATGTACCTACGAAGGAGCAGCTAGCATACATTTTTACCAAAGCCTTGGGGAAGGTTCAGTTTGAGACATTACTTTCCAAGTTGGGCATTCGTGATCTCCATGCTCCAACTTGAGAGGGGATGTTAAGATAAGGAAGAATATCTTAGGGAATATATTTGATATATTTGTAGTTATATTGTGTTATCTTTAGGTAGGATAATATTTACTAAATATATCCTAAGATAGATATGAATTAGATTCCTACGTTGATTAGGTTTCTAAGAGATGTATATAAATATTGAATTGATGATGAATGAGAAGACAAGACTTTGAGATTATCTTGACAACCAATGTACTTACTTTGTTTTTTTAATTAATTGCATTGTTTGGACTTTTACGATATTCACACAATAGTGTTTTACCATATTTTGTGATTTATTTGTTAGTATAAACATAGTTATGTGGGATCGAGTTAGATTCCTCTCAATATCAACTCTATATTATTTTTTTTAATAATTTTTAATAAAGTATAATAAAAAATATTAATTGCCAAAGTAGTGCATTGCCGAACGTAAAATCAAAAATAGTACAATTAAAAATAATGAAGAAAGTATATAACAGGTAATTAATGAAATAAAGACTATTTAAATTAATAAATAAATGTATTTATTCAATAATGTCATTGTTTTGTTTCTTGTTAAGCCTCTGTTCACTTAACCTTAAAATAATAATCACTTCAGTAAAAATGATTTCAGTTCAGTAAATATAAATTCAGTTCAGCAGATTTAATTTCAATTTATTAATTTTTTTTTGAATAAAAGTTGCGGGATTATATTAAGATAAATCGAGATCCGCCAAAGTTTGTAAACTTTGGGGGAAAGAGTTTATACAAATACGCTCCGCATGAGAATTGGTATCTCACCGAGTAACAAAATGAGCAATCGTATTACCTGCACGCTTAATATGCTTACAATCAAAGTAAATAAAGGAGCTAGATATCCTTAAAACATCCCTAAGCAGAGTGGAAATTGGAGCCTCACCCACTTTCTTTTGCTGTATAGCACGCATAACATTGAGAGATCTTTTCTCAAAAAAAAAAAAAAAATGAGAGATCACCTTCTAAGATCACATTTTGGAAACCCAAACTTCCTGCCAAAGCCATCCCGTATCTTGTTGCCCTAGCTTCAGCCAATTCAGGGGTCCAATTCACCTCAAACTTCTTCACGGCTGCAGCCAGTAGGCCCAGTAAGGACCCCTGAGAGCAGCGAATAACAACCCCAAACTGGACAACATAATTCGAGGATAAATGTGCATCAGCATTCACCTTCACAATGCCACTTGGGGATGGCTTCCAACATGAAACAGAAGATGTAGAAGCACTATGAACAGCTCCACATACCTTCTCCTTCTCTTAGATTCCTTCTCATCCTCAACTGATTTATATATGGACTTTACCCATTACCCATTACTTCGGATCTTTTATCAAAATGGCTAATTTTATAAAATTATTTACCGAAACGGCTAATTATAAATTTTAATTCCCAAATTAGCTAATTTATTAACTTGGAAGGAATTTATCTATTTCTTATATTCCTGTAAACCAATTTGGTTCACATTTTTTTTCGGAATTTTGTTTTTCTTTGGGAAATTCTAATGCCATATTTTGAAATATCCCATTAATTTTAATAATGAGTAATATATTTGCAACAATTCTCAATTCTTAATAAGTTACACAAAAAAACAATAAAAAAAAAATTGATATTGACTTCCAATCAACCAAAAAAAAAAAAAAAACTCTATTTTACTCATAAATATAGAAACACAAACTTTCCATTAAATCGGATGTTCACTATTTAAGTGAAAATCGGAAAAAGACGTTAGTTTGGTGGCCCAATTTTGGCAAGGAAAAAAAATTCTTATTTTCTCTCTCCTCTTTTAGCGATTTTTATTTTCTCAGTGTACTAGTTGAATTTCTCTGCGTTATTCAATTTTATTTTTCAATTTTGTTAAATTTTAGTGTTTTGATTTTTAGGATTTTTGTAGTTTCTGCAATGGTGAAGAAGAATAGTTTGGTTTCTGTTGATAATTGATGATGTTGATGTTTCTGCTCTAGCTTAGTGTTTGCACACTTTTTTATTAATTTTTTCGTCGCTTTGCTCGGTGAGATGGTCAAAAATGGTGGAATCAACAATGGTTTCAGCGCGATCGACGTCGCTAACGGTGGTTCCGGTGGTGACTTTTGATTTGTTTGAGTGATTGTATTGTTTAATCATAACTATTGTTAATTTTGTATTTGTTTTTATTGATTTTGATACTCTGTTTTGCATAAGTAGCTTAATTACTTTTGTGAAAAAGGGGTCACTTTTGTGAAAAAAAGGTTACTTTTGTGAAAAAGGGTCATTTTTGTGAAAAAAGTCACTTTTGTGAAAAAGGGTTATTTTTGTGTAAAAAAGGGTCACTTTTGTGGAAAAAACGGTCACTTTGTGAAAAAAAGGTCACTTTTGTGAAAATATAAAACACTTTTGTAGAAGAAAAAGGGTCACTTTTGTGCAAAATGTTCGATGTAAAATAAAATTACTGTAAATCGGGGGCATGCAAAAGTTATACTTTGTATTAAGGTCTAAAGACCCAAAGTTTCTAATGCACTTACAGAGAGAAAAGGTGTATTAGAATAAGGTAAAAGCCTAAAATTTAGAAAGCAATAAGTAGGAACAATCAAGTCTTGATTATATATAAATAACTAGAGTTATACAACAGTTAATTAACCATAATATCATTTTATTTGCTTCGGAAAAGACGAACAATACTTTATTTCCCTTATCTTGGTATAATATGCAATAGTCTTTGTTGAAGCTTAAAGTTTTGATGATGATAGACTTAAACTCAAGCAAACTTAACTAAAGATGTCTTTTAGTGTTTGACTAAGAACATGTGAAGTAAACCTTGGTGGTGGAAGAGTAACTTTGACTTTAAAGAATGTGAAGAAGAAGTCTTTAAGAAGGTTAATCAAGATAAAAGAAGAGTTCCCTAACAGGAACTTAGTTCTCTAACAAGAACTATTTAAGTTCCTTAACAGGACCGTTCCCTAAACTTGGTCCTGGTCTGCGTGAAGCCCAAGCAATCCTCGAGTGCAGAATAAATCGGCATAGCAACTTATTTAGTTAAGATTTTATCTTCTAGATTGGTTGTTAAATATGTTAAGTAGGGTTTGCACGAAACCTATTAGAAGCGTGACAAGTTGCTTGGTAAATCTAATTAAAATGAATAAGATAAAAGATAGATTTTAAGTACAGATTTTCTAAATTGATTTTATTTCTTAAAATCGGTTTAACAAAAAGATATTATTCTTTTTGTTTAAACTTTCTTCATCTTATTTTTCCGAAAAGATTTTATTCTAAATGATTTACATAAAACCGTGTTTTGGGATTTAGTTAAATTAACTTATTTATCTTTTGAAAAACCCTACTTGCTATACAAGTAAATCTTTTATAAATAGTAGAGATCTCATTTCATGAGTTTTTGTGAGTTTATTCGTGAAGAAATCTCAGAGTTTAATTTGTGTAAGTTTACCAAACTTATAATCTTGTCATATTAGTTTCGGGTTTCGTGCATTGCTTGCCTAACATATTCTAGGTGTTCTATATTTTGTATTGGTTGGGTTCTTGGGTGAGTGTGTAATTTATATTTTGCATACAGAGAGCTAGGTTCTAGTGTGAGGCTGTAAGTGTACTTTGGGAGTACGAGTGAATCTAAGTTTGGGACTTAGATTGGGTAAGATAGGGTCCTACTGTGTAGCAAGTTCATTGTGGAACTTGTGAGTAAAGGTTTGTTTGTAATAGATTGTAAGTTGGTATTGCCCTATTATAGTGGAGTAACTTGGTTTTGGAAATCCATTAGGAAGGGTCAAGGTTTTACTTCCAGTTGGGCCCTGGAAGGTTTCCTCGTAAAATCTGTGTGCATTTGCAAGTTCCTTTACAGTTTAATTTATTTCCGCAAAAATTAGTAATAGGAACTCACCTACAATTCATCCCTCCTCTTGTAGTGTTCGTCTCAACTAACAATTGGTATCAGAGCATGGTTCTCACGTGCAAGCAGATAATTTGCTGAGTAAGTTCCTGATGAGAGATGAATTACAAGGTGAAATTTGAAGAAGTGTATTCCATCCAACGTCCACCTATGTTTAATGGTAAGTTTTATACGTACTGGAAAAATAGGATGGAGATCTTCATCAAGGCCGAAAATTACCAGGTATGGCGTGTTATAGAATCTAGTGATTTCGAGGTAACTGCAACCAATGACAAAAACAAGGTAGTTCCTAAACTTATTTGTTATTATGATAAAGAAGACTATCAGAAACTTGAGTTAAATGCTCTAGCTACTAAATATTTGCACTATGGTCTTGGACCCCATGAGCACAATCGTATTATGGGGTGTAAGACAGTCAAATAGATCTGGGATTTACTAGAGGTAACTCGTGAAGGAACTAATGAGGTAAAACGTTCTAAAATTGATTTATTGATGTCTAGGTATAAGAGGTTTGAAATGTAGTCTAAGGAAACCATAGAAGAAATGTTTACAAGATTTAATGATATAATTAATTAGTAGGGTTCCCTTGGCAGGCACATTCCTATAGATGAACAGACAAGAAAGATCTTGAGAAGCTTACCACAAGATGAACGCTGGAGATCCAAGGTTTCTGCTATGAAAGAAGCTAAGGACTTCACTAAGTTCAATATGGAACAGCTAGCCGGTTCCCTGATGACTCATGAACTTCACCTGATTCCAATACAAAAAGTTCCAAAATAAAAGCCTAGCTCTCAAGGCACAAGATTCGGATGACTCAGAAGTTGATGAGGATGAGATGGCAATGCTAGTTAGAAGGTTCAAGAAAATGATGAATAACAGGAAGTTTGACAGGAACAAGAAGATTGCAAGTTCCAGAGACACTACTTGTTTTAGATGTGGCTCGAAAGATCATTTTATTAAGGACTATCTATTCAAGGAAGGTGAAAAAGGAAAGACTAAAAGAAAGGAGCAATCCAAGGATTCCAGAGTCTGTAAGCCATACTTTACTAAGGATAATGTAAAGAAGGCTATGCAAGCTGCTTGGGGAGACTTGGACTCGGAAGAAGAA